CCACCTGCTCCTAAGAGATAGGTCAGAGCTGGGCCCACATCTGCTGGGCTGCAGACCCCAGGTGACCGCTTCCTAGCTCTCCCACTCCCCATCTCCCGGGAGCAGGCGTGAAGACCTGCCCCTCCCAGCCTTCCGTCTGGCCCAGCCCCAGCAGCGGCCTGACCCCTCGCTCATGGAGCATCTGTGGGTTTTGCAGCTGGACCTGAGCAGCCATGCATTTCACTGGGAGTCACACAGGCCTGCGACTGTACCCCCGGCACCCGGTCCTGCTGCTTGAGGCCCAGGGCCCTGGACACAGACAAGGAAGAGCCCCGGTGGGCAGAGTCCTGGGCAGAGAAGCCTGGCTCTGGGCGGGTGCCATGGGCTCAGGCTCCTCTGCCAAGGCCTCTTTCTAGCTCAGAGACAAAACCTTGCAGACTCGCCCCTGGGGGGTCACCTTCCTTGTTGATCAGGCCTCCCAGAGCAAGGCTGCTGAGAGCACGCCTGCTTCCCGGGAAGGCTTCGGCGCTGGAGCGGCTCCACTGGCTGGTTAAGAGGCACTTACTCCAGGGGCGGTGGCCGCAGCACATCCATAATTCAGGAGGCTAGGCCCCGGCCCTGGGAGAGGCTCTCTGCCTTCCCCACAGCCCTGCTCTCTGCCCCCGAGGGGCCAGCAGTGCGAATTTTCTCCGCCTTTCCAGAACCAGGGTCTGTGTGTGTGTATGTGTGCACAGGCACAGGGGGAGGGGGGGCTTGTTCAAATGTCACCCTAAGCACAGGCGGGGGAGGGCAGGCCACCCAGCTCCCATTAGAAGCTCTGAGGACTCAGCCACCGCTCTCCTGCCTGGGACTGGGCATCAGGTCAGGGCAGTCCCAACACGGCGGGAGGAACCCCGCACTCCTCTCAAGGCGGGGCCTGCCTCTCCGTGGACCCTTGGCGAGGAGGCTGCAAAGAGGGCACAGGCCCGAGACCAAGAGGCAGGGAGAACAATGGGCACCTCAACGAGCTGGGCTTGGGGGTGCTCAGAGGGCCAGGGAGAAGCTGCCAAGAGCTGGAGGAAACCAAAGCAAAGGTCAGGAATGTTCCCAGGGCTTCTGGGCCAGCAGCCTGCGCTGTGCCAGGGGAGGGTTGCCAGGGTGGGGGCGTGGGCAGGAGAATAGCGGCGGGTCGGAGAGAAAGTCCCAGCGGAAGGGTGGCGCCACTGCTGCCAGTTCCGGAGCTCTGGGTGGAAAGTCCTGATCACGCCCAGTGGCTGGACCGGATCTAGCACCCGGGACCCAGGCCTGGACCTGCCGACAGCTCAGAGGGGTGCAAGGAGTGAACGCTGTTCCCCACCTTGGGCTGGTGCATTCGGGACTGTGACTCTCTGTGGTGCAGGCTGGGCCGTGCACTGTGGGTGCGAGCAGCGTTCTTGGCCTCCACCCACCAGATGCCATTAGCACCCCCACCCTCGCAGCTGTGACAACCATAAATGTTTCCAGAGGCCAAATACATGGGGTGGGGGAGGGGGACGGGGAGGGAGAGGACTCTCCCTTTTGAAAACCACTGGTTCCGAGAAATACTTTCTCTAGGGCTGAGCCTACGTTCCAGGAATTTCCATGGGGCCCAGGGCGGGCCCGCGTTTCTGGTCCTTGGAACAGTGTGTGCCAGCTGACTGCCAGCACCTTCCCGGGCCGCCGTTTCAGTGTTGCGTGAACGTTCTCTGCTTCAAATCGGGGGCAGCTTCCTGGGCATCTGACCCAAGCAGCCTGCACAGCCTGGGCATGAGAGGAGCCCACCCCGGGCGCACCTGTTGTTGGCCTGCATTTTCATTTTGCACCGTGCCCTGCACCGCATTAGTCCTCTTGTGTAAATACTAGTACGGACTGACCGCCCCTGTGTGACCCGCTGGGATAGAGTCAAACCTACAGTTGGCTGAGATAGCCGGGAGCCCCAGGCCCCTCTGGTCCTCAAAGACAATGGCTTCGGCCCTTTAGGTGGCTCTTTGGCGTTTGCCTCTGGACCTCTAGCATGTTCATCTGGCCACTTCTTGGGACGTAG